TGGTAGCTGCTTCGTTCAGTTACGTATTGCTCATTATCCGTGATTGAACCAGCATATTGAAAGCACTTGAAATATTATTTTGAAACGTAAAAATGATTTTAGTACCTATAGAAACAATGACTCGTTGCAGGGAATGTATTACTACTGAAGATATTACACACCACTCTACTTTATTTATACCCTAAATTTGCGATGATAGAGGGTTAATAGTTTTGTTTACATCGTATGGAGTATATTGATAACTTAACAGGGGGGGGGGGCATGTACTGGATAGGAATGGATGGGAGGGGGCATGGCCGTTCATAGCATGGAGGGGAGGGGTAAGGCCGGGAACGGCATGGAGGGGCATGGCAGCGATAGGCATGGCGAGACATGGCACGCGCACGATAGGGAGGGCGGGGTACCTGGATCTCCTGGATTTGCGGGGGATACAGAACCGACTAAAACATACTACTAATACTGTATATAATATGGTCAAAAGTTGGTAGTTACCGAAATGTGTTCAGACCCCAGTTGCCCATGGAGTCCGACTTGAAATCTGGTATAGCGAACAAGTCCAGTTTGGGTAGCTCGTACGGCACTTCCGTGAAACTCTCCATGGCCGCCAGCAGCTTTGGCGCCTCGCCGGAGACATATTGTAACTGATCCAAGCGGTCAAAGTCCGAGAACACGTATACGGGGCTACGACTGGCTACGCTGCCAGTTGTCGTTGGATCAAATCCGCTGATGACGAACACGACCATGTGAGTGGAAATTGGCGGTGTCTCGACAAAAATGTCACGCATGTCTTGCACGGATTTACTGAAATCATTTTTTGTGCTCACATGATCAGCTTTTTTCGTGTAATATAACAATTTAATACGGATCATTCGTCAGGTTTTTGAGATTTGGATATTGAATCATATAATATGTACTTGCGTCTCAAAAATAGGCATCTATATAAGTGCTGTAGAAATTGAATCTAAATTGGGTCCTACTCCTTTATGAGAATTTCATAGATTCCATTTTATGGTAAAATTAAAACAACCGATATAATGTTATTGTATCATGACATTAAAATTGTTGCAAGTCCATAAAAATATGTATAATTTTTGTTTTTACAATAATAATGTTACAGTTAGTTTTTTTATTAATTTTATTATTCAATTATTTTTTACAATTATTTTAGCTAATATTTGTATTTTACTCATGAATACATATAATTCAATGATTATTGATTAATAACCTAGGTTATATTTAAAATAAAATCTTAGTAAAGCTATAGGTATTATAGGATTTTCGACCTATATTTTTACTAGGTATTTAATGTTCAATATTACTATCTACTAATAGCCATTGCCTGTATTTGAATGAAACTAATTGTTCATTATGATTATTTTAAACGAAATTACTATTTTTATTATATTTTTATCATCTTTGAACATTTTATCGATCGATCAATTGTTTTATAAAACAGAACGGAATACAACTCACTTATTACTTATTAGATATTTGATATATCAAACTAAATGTATTGTTACTTTCATTTATATAAATTTAATTTTGACAGTAAATTTTTTGATCACTGCATAGCAAAATTTCTACTATTTTCTATGGAAAAAAAATATTTAATGGTGGGAAGAAAAAGGTCATATTACAACACAAATTAGTATAGAAAACCATAATATAGGGTTTAGCGCAGAGATGGTAAAAAAAAAAAAAAAAAAGAATATTTTTTGTCAGACTCAATTAGTAGGTACAATGACTATTTGCATGGTAAGTTAAAATATATTTTTAGGATTCAATTATTGATTGACAATTGATTGATCAACGGATTTTGGGATGCAATACATTTTGCACAAAAACAATTTTGATCCAATCACAATTTTATTATTATTGCAATAAGGGTAGACAATAGGTATTAGTATACTCACTCGTAATAACTGGTGTAAATCGGCATGTTGGCTCGCGAAGATTGGTTTTTTGGCCTAGTCAGCGTTATGTTGAACGGCGTTTTGTACGACGGTTCGTCGTAACACGGAAATATACTCCTTGCTCCAGTTGGTTCGAAATATGTCAGGAGCAACCATCTACAATAAACATAACAAAGTTTTCGAAAATAAAATGATTATAATAACGTGTATGTATACGAAGTGATTCCTTATTGAAACACGACAAACGATATGCTAATATTATTATACACAATGTGAATTCGGACTTCTGGGTTAGATTGAACTAAAAAAATAAAAATAGATTGTTCTGAGATAACACAATCGTTGAATATAATATGTAGGTATGCATGTTTATATCTATCAATTTAATATTATTTTTAATATTATAAACCAGCTCAAAATAATAATAAAGCAAAAATAAGTTTGCGATCCTATAATGGTAATTTTTAAAACACGACTAAACGAGTCAATATCTGTCATAAGTGTAATGATAATTATTATTTAATAACAATAACCCACTTACTGTTTATGATTGTCCTTATTGTTGTATGTACTTTTATAAAATCCTTCCATGTTGTTTACTCGAATGTTCACATGGTATTCGATGTTTACCACGTATCGAATTCCAACCTTTAGTTGTGTTCTCAACAAAATGTTGCACTGCTCATTTTGGCTATCATTTTTGACTTCTAATACATCAATGTTGTCTTTGGTTTTTTTTTCGTGTACATACACCACGTAAATCAGGATATCATTGCAATTCAATGTTATCGTTGAAGTTTTTGATATTACGTCGATCAAAATCTCTACCTCCCCGTTAAAGTCAACGGTGTTTGTAAAGTAATTGTAGTCCGGCATAATATTCAAATTGTACGAGACCGGGATCGTATTTCCTGGTAGTCGGTAAACGACCATTTCGTCCGGTTCGTTGACTTCCGTGGAGGAACGTCCATCAGAACCTAAAACGCTCGCAAACAAGACGAAAAACAGCAGTACCGATACGTTTTCCGACATCATTGCGTTATTGACTCGTAATAAAGTGAATCTCGACAATAGCTCGATCATCTCTGGGCATTGTGCAGACAAATAAAACCGAGTTAATCTTATATCCTTGAAATGGAGTGTCACGTCAAATCGTAATTAATTATAATATTAATAAATGCAATGAAAAAACATTCAATGACTCAATTGGCCCGTATATGTACTTTACTGAGCACTTATCTATTGTTCCACTCTAAGACTATCTAAGTGTATATTATATTACTGAATCAGATTCCTAAAAATGTTATATTTTTAAATTTGTTTTAATGCCATTGATATGTGGTGTTGTCTCACGGTTTACGCTCGACGATTAGAGGTATGAGGTTCAGTTAAAAGATCACTTGAGTAGCATGACTGCATGAGATTCTAAACAAATTAATAATTTTTAAGTAACACTTTCAGTGCTGCTAATGGATTGTATGCGAAATGGTATTGGGAGTGTATAATGGTGTGCTAATAAACCAAAACGACGACGGTAAACAGTATAATTATAATATTATGTACAAGATAAACGGGATTTTTATCAAAATCAGTCATAACGACAATAAGTGCGTGGGTAATACTCGATATATGAACGTGAAGCAGATGATCAAACAAAATTCCATATTGGGCGTTCGTACAAAACAACGAGCCAAAATAATTGCATTACGTTCTAAAGCTTTGGGAAAGTCATCATATTTATTTGATATATCACATCGAACATCGAATTGAATAATTGTTTAAGTAGTATATACAAGTTTATATTCAAAGAGAAAAAAAGTTAATGGGTGAATACCTAATAATATTATAACATTTATAACAATCACCATTGTACTACTGATATTGTTCGTAGTCGCGTTTATTACATTTACGTGAATATTGAAAAGATGTTTAGACGCTCCCGGGTTTTTATTTTAATGAAAAAGTTTATCGTAACCAACGGATGTTTAAATCGATTTCTTTTTAATTTTTTCGTTCATTCAATTCAAAGTACATAAATACGTGTTTTACTACTATCATAATAATTATTGTCACAGAAAAAATGAAACTAGAATCCAATATTTACCAAAACGATTTACTGAAGGAATAAGTGAACCTCATACTTGTATATATTTTTTTATATTAAGGAAAAATAAAAATATTATTCTATGAAATTATTGATGTAACATTAGCTTTATTAGGTAGAAGGTTTCGATAAAACATTATCGAATGTTTGAAGGACTCATCATTGGGAAAAAAACTTCACACAAAGATATAATTAAATTTTATGAATCTGACTTTGATGGTGATACGTACATTGCAATTACACAAATATGTGTTTTTAATGTAACAAAATCAAGAAAGGCGCTACTTAAAAATGTTAATGATGGCTTGAAGTCAATGAAAAACGATGATGCACTTCGTCAAATGTTACTGGAGTTAAATAAAATATTATACATGACGTGAAGTATATCAATTTCATGATGTAGGTAAATCTGAAAAATTGTTTTTTTGCTCATTGTAGGCTTAAGACATACATAAGGTGTACAGTGAGTCAAATACGGTTTAATGATATTTCCGATCTTCATGTTCACCGCGATGAAGAAATGATTTTAGATATGGTTGCAAACCAACTCATTAATTCCAGAGTGCGGAAAAATACATTTTTTATATAAAACACATAATTTTCAATAATAAATTATTTTTTAAAAATTTTTGTCTAGTTATTTTTCATCTTCAAATTTAATAACATACACAACAAAAAATAATTATATTTTAGTAATTATATAAAAAATAAATTTGAAAGTATCTTAAGATTTAAATAAAACTATACAATGTTTTGCTAGTCATTCACGAAAAAGGTCCGTAAGTATAGATACTACCTTTTTTTTTTTATAAGTAGTATGTCTTAAAAAACCCTGAAGTCATAATTTTTTTAAAAAACTGATTATTATAATAATTACGGAAACCTTAATTCTATCAATGATGTTATTTTGGGAAATTTACGTTTAAAAATAAAATAAGAATATGTATTGCAATGCGTATTTTAATCATACTGAAAAGTTAGAAAAAACGAGTTACGACCTTTTTCCTTGGGGCAGTCAACATATGTTTATAAAACAGTGAACTACTCATTGCATTTTCAAATCTAGCACCTCTGTCATTATGCATAATTAAAATTATAAAATTGTTCACCATTTGCACAATAACTAATATTTGTTTGAATCCTATGTAAATATGTTTCACATAGTATATTATAATAGATTATATTATATTCACACCGTACGTGTATTTTTTTTTAGATGAACCCCGTAATAGGACTATTACTAAACTCGATAATTTGACGTGTCTCTCTTTCTCTCTCTCTCTCTCTCTCTCTCTGACCAAGCAATGTCGTATAACGCATAATGCGTAAATTAATCTTAAGTTCACGCAGTAGATATTATAATAGTTATTTTTATATTAAATTGCATCACAACTGCGTTTCAATTGTTTGTTTGGGTACCTATTGAAATACTAATAGGTAGGTAGGTATAACTCGATCTTAAGCGAACACATAGAAGAGAACCAATTATTAAAAACCACAGATAACTTTATCGTTTTTACTTTTGATAATAATAATAGTAAGTCAATTAAATGTTATATAATAACATACATTAGCAGAGTTAAACACGTTATACTATTATAGTATGTCGGTTATATACTTGTATAGAATAGTATTATTATTAAACCATAGAGCACGCTCAGTTCTTGTAGTTCAGTGATAGGTAAATTTGACATTATGTTGTACGAACAGTATACATACACTTATATTTATTACGTTCAATTATAATATGATGGATAAAAAGGGATAATGGTACTAACTACTAACGTCAAAGCTTTATAATGCAAAGAACAAAATGAAAGAAAAAAAACTATAATACAATAGTGTTTTTTGTTTATTATTTTTTTTTCGTACTCGAATTTGACGACACCATTATTTTCGTTCCTAATTTGGTCGTGTTTCTTAGAACACGTTAGATATCCAACTGAAATGATTTTCCAAGAAATATCTCATAATATTCATACCTCGCCTGTGATAATGATTTGCAAATCGCATACAATTCCGTATAGGTTCGGTACGATAACCTGACCTCATACATTGTGTACACGTTATGATGAACTATTTACATTTTATCTAGTTTTAGATTCCGGTCGAGATGAAAGAAGTTTAAGATTTTAAACGCTGTATGATAGTATGATGCTCTTCGTTATTAGCACTCAAATCTGCCAATAACTTATTCTACATTGATTTCGTGATTTTCTGCTTTGTATGCCCTCAAAATCATACTTGATAAAAAAATAAGATATACCTATTATAAGCATATTACATTATAATATTATTATTAGTACCGGTAAGTTACTACGGCTCTAAAATAATTCTTGTACTCTGATTATGATATCGATTTTTAAAACTAGTCGTGTATTAATGTGTCATGTATTTATCGCATAATACATAATTTCTAGTAAGAAGTCTATTTTAATTTGAAACATTTTTATATTACAATAGTATAATAAATGTTTATGTACAAGTACCTAATAACCTAATTATTTTAATATTTTTGCTATACGCTTGCATAATATTACCTATTGTGTTGATAGTTATGTGACAATACTGATAATTTAATATGAAACAATAATGCGTAATGACACTATATATTAATGTATCACACGAACATATAATTTATAGGTGAGATTTATTTAAAATTACTTTGGCTATTGTATTTATAGTAATTTTTTTGTTTGATTAACCGATATTTCAATTTTATTTACTCATTATTTTTTAATTAGTATTTATCAAATTACTACATATCTATTTTATATTTAATTTTTATAATAATAACATTATATTTTTACCTTATAGTTACACTTACTTTTAATTAATACAAAAACAAAATAATAATATGCAGCACGTGGTTATCAAAAAAGAAATTGATATACCTATTTTAATTATACAGGTAGGTACACAAAAGTTAAATAATAAGCAAATCTGTGGTTATTTCATAAAATATTTTGACGAATTTGCTCATTATTTTTTTTTAACGTGTGCGTTTTGTTTATCAGTAAGCACTTAATTATAAAAATTGTTTTTCTTTTCTAATAAAAACTATTTACGTATTCTTCATATTCTAAATTACACTTTTTTTTTTTTTATTATCTAATCTAATATTGATTTTGAATGTGTGTTCTAAAACTAAATAAATAAATATTAATAGGTACCTATAATTATAATAGACTAAATTTTTTCTACTCCGTTCTGGCTATATATTATATACATTATGAAATGTACACTATTTGTTCGTAAATCGGAAACTATTGCGACAGTTGAAAATTAGTTTGAGTACAATAAATCAAATTTTATAGTTTTAAAAAAATACCTTTTATTTATTAATTAAAATTTTAGAATATTATTGTAGTACCTCCTATATCTATAGGTATAATGAATAAACTACATGTAATCAAAGCTTAAAATATAATATATAGTTAGTGTTAACATATTCTAAAATTCTATACAATATAGAACATAATTTTCTTCAACAATAACAATGTCATCTTGTAAAAGAATAGTTATTAATAACAATTACTTAAGCAAATCAGACAAGGTTGAAAGTATTTATGGAGTTACGGAATTTGATTACTAACTTGGGAATTATCAAGACTAACTATGTAATCCAAAGGCAATGTTGAAATTAATATAATCAACAAAATAAATAGAATTAAGACTATGCAAATTATAATTTAAAATTAAAATAACAAAAATTGAAATGAACATAGATAATTTACAAGTAGAATTAAGTCACTAAATTATGTTAAGGTTTCACTATGGTGTACGAACTTAACACATATTTATAAGAATTTACAATTATTTATCAAGGATTTTTTCAGTAGATAAATCAAACAACTACTTACATGTCTATATTTGAAATGACGTTTCATGACTACAAAATGGATTTTTGAAAATGTTCCCCCGGTTTTTCTACTTGTTTTAACTTACAGTTATTCTCAATACATAGGTGTAAGTACAATCAGTTTAGGTAATATTTTTGGAACGATTGATTTATATGACGTTGGTAAGATACCTAATAAAGATACCTTATTTATTATAACGGTTATGAAAAAAAAAAGAAAAAAATTAAATACAAATTTTATTATTTCAATAACGTCCACTTGTCTGCAAGTGCCAAACGCAAATATATTTTAATTTTTTAATTCAAAAACATTAAAGTATACAATTTTATACTTTTGCAATATTTACAAAACGACCATCGCCGCGCTGACAGCGATAATGACAAAAACTAAGCTACTCCGACACGATGATTTACCAGATTTAGGGGGACACTTGGAAATTATAGCTGGCGGCGTCGGGTTGTCAAAATCAAATTCCGAAACCATCGGCGCTTGTTTTGTCGGTTCGGTCACTGTCGACACAGTCGTATTCATTAAAATAGTCGTGTTCATCGACTCAGTCGTATTCATTGAAATAGTCGCATTCGTTGATTCAGTCGTTTCCGACGACATAGTCGTATCTAACGACGACACAGTCGTATCTAACGACGACACAGTCGTATCAGAAGACGACACAGTCGTATCAGACGACGACACAGTCGTATCAGACGACGACACAGTCGAATCTGATGAAGTTACTGTTACGTCCGGTGATTTAGTTGTCATTAGTTCTATGGGTGCTCCTGTCCACTGGTTAATCGTAGTATGGTAACTGTTATACCACAATAGATTTTGTTCTACTTGTACGTACGATTCCTCAAAGGAAGCTTTTATTCTCGGCGGTAATCCTGCCGCGTTCTTCAGGTTTGTCAACTGAAAAAACAACCATTAAAAATATAATAGCATTAATACATCATATTATTCGTTTTATATACTTTCTACAAACAATATTATTTTAACTGTTTTTTTTTTTGTTTTCCTAAAATTTTTATCTGAAGGAAGATTTCTAAGAATACAAAAAATAATATCATAAGCATCATAGATCTAATTTCCTAGTACCCAAATATGTATCAACTACGTATTGTTATATGTTTAGTTTATTAAAATATTCAGTTAATAAGGAGTTCGGTGATCATATGCTCAAAATAAATATATTTTAACAACTCGATATTTGTTGATTATTATCGAAATTTAATTTGGACTTCACCTTAGCTATTTCAATATCAAGAGCTACTTTGGAAGCTAAAATCCTATACATATACGTAACGATACTCTCTCCGGTAGGTATCTGTCTTAGAATTCGTTCTAGGTTGTTCATTAAGAAATTTGTTAACGCTTCGATCCCTTGGGGTGTCAAAGACATCGCATCGCATATGTCTTTGAAATCTTGCAGACGTACTGGACCAACAGTATTAAAATCAAATAAAAATTCCAAGTACCTAAAATAAAAAAGAAATCAAATTATAGCTTTCGTTTGAACGAAACGAGGTACACAACACAAGATAGATAATAAAAACAAATAAAAATATATTATTTTAAAATGGTTACTAAAAAAAAAAATATATATATATATATAACAGAAGTGCCAATTCCGATTACTTTGGAAGTATTTTTTGATCAAAAATATAGTATTTTCAAAAATACTGTTCATAAATTAATATTTTGTTGAAATTATATTCACGTATACCTATAAAATATTGTATATTTGAAAACGTTAGTTTTTTTTACGACGATTAGATATATACTTTTTTTGGCATTCTCGAATATGTAAATTTGTTTTACGTACTTATATAATATTAATTTATCTTTTGAACAAGCCAGTGCTGCCTGAGCTGAGTTTTTTTCTGAAGCCGATTTAGTGGTCATGTAAACATTGAGCACACCTTGCCACGTATCAGTATTATTACTTAGTTTAATTCCTGTACACAATGCAGCGTCTTTCATATCAGGCGATATTCTGATAAAAAAATTAAAAGTAAAATAATAAAAATACCATAAAATTAAATTAAAGCAAGTAGCGAGCAAACATAATATTTTCATACCATGTCTACATTTGAACGTTACCTTTTTTTCTCCGTCCATTTTTGGAAATTGGCTATTGCGTTATTCGTACAATATTCGCCATCTAAGTAGCAAGCCCACACAGAAAACTTATTCCAACTGGTTATGGTCGTGTGATCATCGTTTTTATACTGGACAACCAAAGTTTCAGTTTTTTTGTAAATAAATTCGGCCAATTTTCGAACGTATGACTGTAAAACCATATTATTCACAGGCTACAATACTGTTTATTCTTAATAATACACAATGCAGAGAACAGAATGTATTAACATTTATCTAACTAATAAGAACTAAAAATACGTTATTTCATATTTACGCCTTTTTGACATTATTGATTATGACTAGATTTATGATTAAAAAGTTATAAAAATACTTAATATAAAAATCGAAAAAACTAAACAAATTTAAAAAAAAAGAAAAGTATCCTAAAACAAACACTAAAATTTATTTTAAAAACTTAAAAATAAAAAATTTAATTTGTACAATTTGTATTTTTATTATTGAAGTGAATATGATGTATATTTATTACAAGTTAAAGTTAATCCACTTTTATAAATTATAAGGAAGTAAATTAAAAAGTAAAATCTAAACACTATTTAAGTTAAAACCAACCGAGTAATCTTAATATACGTACACATTATATGACATATAAACAAAAATTATTTTAAAAATACCTAAATCTACTAAATATTTCAATTCTGCGTTGATACGCAAAAAAATAAAAAAACAAATTTAATCCAAAAATGCTAAATAAAATGTTTTGTCTTCTATTTCACGTAGATACTCCCAATGTATCGAATTACTTATAGCTAACATAGTATTGTAGTAGATAAATTGAAAAAAAAACTATGCGTATTATTCTGAACAAACGTAACGTATTAAACACGTCATAACTATCAAATAATACTATAGAATAAAACATATATTTATTGGAAAAAATAATGATTTACTACTATTTTTTTCTTTTCTTAAAATGCAGTACGTGTACGTATCTTAACCATTAAATTATGTGACTAACTCATTTTTTCGTTACATTGGTCATATCTACTTACTGTGTGTAAACATATAACGATTTAATAATAATTATTGGAAGTGGAGTATAAACATTACTTCATCAACACTTTGAGGACACGTTGTATAATTTCTTATGGGAAATTATGTAAATTTCCTTGCGTACCTTTATGTAATCGTAACCCTCGGCACTACGACGCATTCGTTCGACCACGTAAGACAAACACTCGATGGCTGTGTACCAAGGTATTTCGTCGTTTTCCTTCATCAGATAAGTTGACAGGTTCAAAGGCACTGAATAACTCAACATTCCTGCTCTAGCGAGATTGAACGAGTCATCGATTAGTTGCACTCGATTCAGAACGTGTATATCGCTATATGATTCGTTCAACTGTATTATTAGTTGTTGCCAATTATTGAGGTCGTAGTTAACCCTATAGAATCCTACGATAAAAAACATATTCTATAAACAGAAATCTATATAAACATTTAAAGCAAACAATACCAGTCCATTGCAAATTGAAAATCACCCAAGTACAAAGGCTTGTATCGTGCAAATACATTACGGACGTGTAAGGTTTTAGCCATCTAACCGATCTAAAATTGTTAAAATTTCTCGCCAAATTATTAGTGTAAGTAAGACCAATGTACCAGCTGGAAGTATTATTGTCAGTCGGCCAAACCGAAAATGGTTTCTAAAAAATAAAATAATTCATGAACTATTTTTGGTATTTGATATAATTTTATTAACAATATTTAGTAAAATATTTACATGAGTAATTGTATACGTGCTTTGATTTCTAATGACGTTTACCACAGGATAACCTGGTTGATTTGTCCACGATTCAATGAAATTGGTGAATGGCACATTTTCCGACAACTTATATTCAATTTCAAAGTAATAGTTTTCATAAACCGCCCACAAATTACTTGGAGTTACTGCACCATATCTAAACGGGACAATTTGAAGAATGGCAAAGAAAAATATTTTACTTCGCTTAGTTACTGAACTAGTTGTAAGATATGACGTACTTAAAGTTTTGCAAATACAACAATAGGGGTTCTTGGAAATTTGAATCAGTTACTATGTATTTCAACATCCTTAAAATAGCCGCAGCCTTGTTGGAAACCACTTTTTCAAATATATTTTGGATATCGGAGGAAGTCTTGACAGACGTAGTAATTGGATGTCTCGGAGTCTGGTCGAATTCCATAGCAGTCTGATGCTGCTCTACGACAAAAAGTTCATCCAACCGCCAGTCTGGTTTCACCTAAAAAATGACACAATAAATACAGACCATGTACGGGCATAGTTCTAAAAACCATTGTAACCGGACTCACCATTTCCGTCGCGTAATACTGAAAATACCGAGCGAACCCCTCGTTCAACCATAGGTAATCCCACCAAGCACAGGTCACCATATTTCCGAACCACTGGTGACTGTTAAGTTTTTGGATTACCATTACCGACTGCTCTTTGAATTTCATTTTTGAATCGTCGTCGAACAACATGTATTTCTCTCTGTCGATGATGCAAAGTTAAGACACACACGCCATATACGCACAAACGCAACCGAAAAATAAATAATACTATAATATTAAATAAAACCAAACTCAATATCGCGTTTACATACCGATAAGCGTTTATACCCCAGTTTTCCATTCCATCCCCGTCAAAATCAGGTATCGACATGAAATCTATTTTTTTTAATTCGTTTTGACTATCGGTGTAGTTCTCCATGACGCTAAACAACATCGGCGTTTCTTCCGTAACGTACAGAACTTGATTCAAATAATCGTTGCACGTATATACATCGATTAAGCTTCCTTCTATTGCACTTGATTTTTTCAAATTCCCAACAAGTGCTCCCACTAAATACGTGGGTATCGGTGGTGTCGTTTCAAAATGATCCGCCCACCATCCATAGTATTCGCTACGATAAATAAAATATGGTATATTCAATTAATTAATTATTACCATACCACATGAATGCATTTCTTCACGTGAATTTTTCTATTTTGACAGTTCAACTTAATTTGAGTTATATTTAAATAAAACCATTATTTTTAAACTTAAGTAATACACAATATATGACGTAAATAAACCGTAATCCATAAAAATGTATTATTTATTTTTTTTTTTTATTCCGATACCGGTGTGGTGAAAATGATGTAATTACACAAGCGTGTTGAGGTCAGGGCGAAAGTGCATAGTGAACATTGTACTGTTTTAACTAAACTATTCAAGTATTGGCACACGTCTCTTTTCGTGAAAGTTGAAACAGATAAGGATACGAATTGACCCAAATACTAAATTATAATAAGAGATCCCAAAATCTGCCAAAACAGTTAATTCACCACCACTACCACGACTACCACTCTTAATGATGAGATCATATAAAAAAGAGACCGTTGCAAGAGTTTGGCAGACAGTTATTAATATCTGAGATGTTCAGCGGTAGGTCGTAACATCACTCACGGTCTTAAATATCAGTATACAATGCAAGTCATAACACCGCAACACCGCTTACCCCCCCCCCCCCCCACCAATAACTTACTACTGTAATTTTGTATTTTAAGTAAATTTTAAATAAAGACAATATTATACTTTAAACATCACTTTACATTCCTGAGTTGATTCATAAATCGAAGAGTCGGGATGATATAATGTATATATTGTCTTCAGATGTTTATGAATTTATTATTTCTTGTATATAACTACTTAATTTTTAATTTTACTTCTAATGTTTATCTCATATAACATGAATTTTATTTTGAAAACCATACAATGAAACTTATTTCTATTTTAATAAAACTCGCCACGATACGAGGACGATAGTTAATGTTTGTTTCTGAGTAAACTTGATGACTTACAGTCTCTGAGTTAAGTATCGAGGCATGTTGGATAATGTCATCTGGTACTCTTGTCTGCCTAGTGATATATTGAACGGAGTTTTATACGCAGGCTCGTCGTAGCACGGGAATGCTCTCCTAGCGTATGTGGGCTTAAATTGTGTCACAGCCATCCATCTGGAAACGCGATAATAAAACAATATTACATCATAGAAAAATTAAAAAAAAAAAATCGCAAGGTACAGAGGCATTTTATCTATATTTTACGGAGTAGTGCAAAAATTTAATTCAAAGAAATCGAGCTATATCTATAGAAAAGTGATCTAACTGTAAATTGAAGCTGTTATGAAATATTTATGTATAAAAATATATATTTATATATATATATATTTTTTTTATTTTTTCATGCATGTAAATATAATCATAATATTCTCATATCCGAAACTTGAAATTAAAAAAGTATTTTGTGAACAGTGACCGTGACTTGTGTTTATATATCATTTATAGTAAATTTTGAATTTAATAAAATAGTAAACATTATTCTTTTAAATTAATCTATAAAAACCTTTGCTTAACAAAATAATATAGATTTACAATAAAGCATAAATAAAAAAAAATTCTAACATACAATAGTATTGTGTTTGTAATTAATTTACAATTTATGTACTCACCCAAAAGTGTATACAAAAAAAATAATAATAATTTTTTAATGTGTGTCTGATACTAAACTTTTCCAATCTCACTCCTCCCTATAATTTAAATTGAGGGTAAATACATATTTTCTCGACTTACTTAGTTACTCCGTTCTCCTTGTACAAGCTCCTGTAGAAACCGGTCATGTCGGTCCTCAGTAGTCCCTGGAAAACTATTTTCACCTGGTACCGTCGGCCTGCCAACAGGTTACTTTCCGCGTATATCGTCAGAATCTCGGCGTCGTTGTCCAATTCGTACAAGTCCACCGCCAGATCCTTTTGGGTCTTGAACTCGGTGATGGACACGCTCTTAATTTGCATGTCCTTGGCGTTCAGCGTCACATTTGGAGTGATGCGATTCACGTAAATTAGAATTTCCACCTGACCGCCAAATGTGTACATGTCTGAACCTTTGTCATATTTCGGCACCAGTCGCAGGCCGTACGCTAACGGCTGCGTATCGCGCGGCAACCGGTACGACGGCGATTCGGCCGATTCGGCTTTAGCCGTCCGATGGTCCTCCGCCGATCCAGCAATCGGATGGACCGCGACGACTACGGAAACGAGTACGACGATCGTTATTACCGATTTAGTACACATAACGTATGTTATCGACACGTCTGACGATTCCGTCGAACAGACAACGGCGGATTGTTACCGTTTTCTGCTGCCAACACTCGAAGCCCGATCGCAATTATGGTCTTATCTGGACGCACACTCGAGCTGTGATACCATCATGTGAACGTACATTCGACGTTAACACTCATCTAGAGGACTCTACCGAATAAATAGTTTATTACATAAACATCGATTATTTTTAACACACGCGTACACGACAAAACATACGTAATTCTTTCGCATTTCGCGACGTTATCAAAAAAAAAAAAGTCTTGTCCGTTCAATGGCGGTCACAACAACCAATCACCGCAATAAAATCACTTTTCACGTTTTTCCAATTACTTTTATTATTTCACAGCTTAAACTGTACGTAAATGCTAGCCAAGCACTATTCTTAATCCAGCTCGAATCATTGTTGTATACTATAAATATTTTAATATACAAATATGTTAGATAAAACTATATTATCGTATAATATACTTACAAACCAAAGTACTCGCCGTTTACACACAATGTATAACGATTACGAAACATATTTCTATGTAAAAAGAAAAAAAAAGAAAAACACTCTAGATCGCATCAAATCTCTAGTGGCATCATTGTCGAGTGATTTACTAAGAACTGCAAAAAGTTATGCATCGTACTATTTGTAACATAAATAAAATGTATTTAATATGTTTATCCTGGTTTTATTCAGAGAGTTCTTTCAATTTAAATCTAACCAACGAAAATAAATGCCATGTATTAAAACACAAATAATTGTACTTGACGTTCCAAAATAATGATATTTAATGATAAAAGTTTTATAACAAAAATACGACGCATTTTTCTGCTTTAAATTATTACATTATTTGCTATTCATTAAAACTAGTTAATTAATTAATCCGAACTAGTAATCTTACCATGCAGTAATTTTAGTTTTTAAATATATATTATGTCTTTAAAAAAATTTCTTAATTTCACGCACGTGTCTGTAGCTCAAGAACTGAATGCAAATTCTTCGATAATAATTATTGCTTATTAAATTAACAATAATTATAATATATTCTCCACAACATAATATTTAACTCTAGGCCAAAATATTTTCATATTATGCTCTTATTTACTTTTGTTATTCAATTTTGAATTGTTAGATTAAATTAAATTATGTCTATAGACGCTAATCCATACTGAATAGTACTTATAATTCTCATTTCAAGTAATTTAATTTCATATCGAGTTATCGAGTTGTTGATATTATTATTTACTGATACAATTATATTTCGAACAGAGAACATGAATCATTAAAAATTAACCAAATATGCATTTAAACACTCAAAATATGAAATTCAAAATAAATATTTTCAATTTTAAAACAAGATATTTTTTGTATTGTAATAAATTTATTTTATTTAGTCATAAATTATTACTTACAAATTTACAACAGCCAAGTATGACTATCAATCATATTTTGTGCAGTAATCTATCTATGAATAGAATTAATAAACAGAAAATTCATTTAATCGGCAATCCTTAAGCGTTTCTTAGAAAATATTGTGTCTGGTCATTGGTCAATAACCGTGTAATGATGAAAATTAAAAATAATTTTGATTGTATTAAATGAAATGAAAACGACAATGAATAAAATATTTATAAAATTATTAATTAAGTAGTTGTATTATGTATCAAAAAGTAAAAAAAAATTAAAAAAGTATGCCCCGGAAGGAAAAGATATGCGTTTATATAAAAAATAAAATTATAAACTAACTTTGTTTCAACATAAAACGTACATGTTTGTTACTCTGTTGTTTGTATGAGTGTACTGAATAAATATACAATGTTATAGCTTAGAAGTTTTCTGCCCTAATAACAATATTTACAAAAATCACTGATTTTAGAATTATTAAAAAATTATTAACCAAAGATAATATTTCAATTTTTATACAAGGTATTATGAAGTAGTATAATTTAAAATCATATACCATCTTAATATAGAAAATCGTGAGTAAATCATTTCTCTATATTTTAAATTGAATTCAAAATATTATGTGTTTATAATTAAATTATTTTTTCTGTTCACATATCTTTTTATCGAAAATCTGAATTTAATAAGTTTCAAATGGCATATTATCTTATGTATACATATGTATATTTTAGACAATGGATAAAAGAACATATTTAAAATTAAATTTATATATTTCAAACAATTTTAGACTATAATAAAAATATAAAAATCTTAACCTTAAATCTGTAAAAATTCCATTGCTTTTAAAATTGTTTTTTAATAATTTATTGACAATAATTATTATATTTAAAAAATCATAATTTGAAATACTTAAAATTTTTAATTTTAGTGTAAATTCTATGGATATAATATAACTTTAAAACTTCATGGATTAAAATGAAAAATGGATTACTTTTTTATGTTGTTTATTCTATTTGTTTTAATGGTCTCAAAATTTAATACAATATTGCCATAATACTTTTACTTACAAATCGAATAACTTTTATATATTTAAATATTTTTACATTACACATTAGGATATAGTTACGATTTAATACATAATATAAAAATTAAAACTCTATCAGAATTATATGTTGATATATATTAAATATTTATTCAATAAAAATATTCGTTAAAAGTGAAATTTATATGTGTAATTGTTATAGTCTCTGTTCGCGAGTCAATGTTATTTTTCAATTAAATTATCTGAATAATATATAATATAAAACCATTTAAAAAGTTACTAATGTTGCCGGAATTATCTGTTTATAGTATTTTATCTTAAGTGTAACTTTAAAGAAAAAAAAAATCAAGTTTCGTCAAGTACTCAGATTTTAATCATTTTTTTTTTTTTTTTACAAAAGAGAAACTTTATTAAGGTCGCATTAAATTCCAATTTTTTATTTATGTTTAATGGTACAATTGAAAAATATATTTAAAAACATTGAAGCGTTTGTGATTGATTAAACGTTTATTACAACTACTTCTCAAAATAAAATGTTATATCGTCTAATACAGTATGCAATATGCGTAGTGTCTGTATCTTTAAAATAAATAAATAACTTTCAAAATCTATTTATTTCACGAGACGTGAGAGTTTTTGGAAGGCAAGTTTTTGTATTAAAAACACATCGAATCCGAATCATGCCCTGTAATAACTCGAATCTAGTGCACGGTAAAGTTATTATTATTATTATTAATGTTAGTTATGTCACCGTACACAAATGTTGTGTAGATTCTTGAGATGAGTAAGGTACTAAAGGTTCACTATGTAAGCCGTTGATTCGGTTCTAGCGTTGGCTGGGTGTCTGCTACTCGTGTTATGTAATTTCATGCTAATACGCCACCGCGTGTGTTTATCCAACAATATTTTAAACGATATAATAAATTATCCAATTTTAAAATTAATATTAGGTATACAATAACTTAAAATAAAGTTTATTAATTCACAACTCGAATAACTATTTACATTTAAGTGTATTATTTATAAATATTATAATACGCATATATTACCATTCTTCAATACCATAGACGTGATCATATTCAGTATGATTAATGGTTAGATACTAAACATAAATTCTAAATAATTTTATTTAAACGTTTTAAATTGGGGCTCAATAAATACCTATATTATATAGTATATACACTAATTTGACCTTATCTATATACTTACAACGTATAATCTATTTAAAAAATAAATATACAAGAGTAGTGTATCAACGCTTTTACATGACTTTGTAATACATTTGTGTAGGCTTAAAAAAAAAAAAAAACAGAAAATAAGTCATCAATTTGACGGTTATCATAGAATCAAATGTTTGAGAGATTATTTTTTAAAAAATATCAGAATAAAAATTGTTAAAACCAATGAAATTAATATAATATAACTTATATGTACATCCGGCGCTGCACTGGGTGGCTTGTGTGTAGTCGTCATTACATATTCAGTAACTGGCATGGGAGAAGTTGTAGATAATTTTGTCGTAGACGTTTGATTATCCGTTACTCGTGACGTAGTAGACATCACTGCTGTCGATGTGGTTTCGGCTTCTGTACTTTGTGTTTCTAGTTCTTGATTTTCTAATATCCATCTGTTAATTCCATCAGCATACTTATCAAACCACGCCAGGTTATAGTTGATTTTTTCATAAGATTTTTCAAACGACAATCTTACAGAGTCGGGCACAGTGGAATTGTTTTTCAAATCGTTTAGCTAAAATAATGTATACTTAGATCATTTTCAAAATAATTATTCAGTCAATCAAATTAATAACATAATGTGAAGTCAACAAGTTAATGTATCGTTATGACTGAGATACTAACAAAATAAAGGAAAATTAGTTTATGCAAGTAATGTTATGAAGCTTCCAAAAAATTGTTGTTAAAATATTTAAAATTTATATTTAGATACATATTAGTAGAATAACTAATAATTTTTAAGAACTACAATATGGGTAGTCACTTGAGTTTGATTTTTAATTTCAATCAAACAAATTATTACCATTTAAATAGTCTATTTAATAAAACCTAGACATTATGAGATTTAGACTTTTTACTTTTAATAAAAAATGGTAAACATTATAAGTTATTACATAATGATTTAAAAAAATACACGGTTAAAATATTTAAAAAAAAAAAAGAAAAGAAAAGATATGTTATGCGATGCAATTATCGTTTGCTCATAGTATCAATGGAAACAAATGATAAATCCAGTACTAACTTTTTCAAATTCATCGTCGTTAGTCATCCTGGTAGCTAGGGTTGAGTAAATATATGATGCGACGCCTTTACCATCAGGTAGTTCATTCAAAATTATGTTCAAATTAGTTGAAAGGAATTCGTATAACACATCGAGACCTAACGGTGTCGCCGATATTACAGATATAACAGATTTGAAGTATCTCTTCTCAATTTGACCATCTATTATGTGATTAATGTACCTAAAATAAAATATTATGCAGTAATAGTATGTATTTTGAACAAGGTTGTCAAAAGTAAAAGGATTTTAGTTTTTGAGAAAAGCGTACATGCTAAATAATATAGTGAAACAATAACTCAAAACTGAGTTGTTGTACATAGGTAAAATAAATAATAATAAGTTATAGTATTATTTACCCACAAAATGTAATATTTTAAACTTTATCAACGTACTCAGATAGCTGTGTCCTGTTAGTAGAACAACTTAGAGCGAACTCAACGGAAGATTTTTCCGATAATGACTTCGTGTTGATGTATAACGAAAACATTTTATTAAAGACCAACGAACCGTTGCTGTTCTTCACTCCGACGCAGAACGCCGCATCCTTGATATCGGCAGGTATTCTGTGCGGTACAATAGTTTAAGTTAGGTATATGGATGGTAAAAGTGCTAGTATAAAGTTACTGACTTCTCTCCCGCTTGCCATTTGTTGAAGTATTGTTGTGCCTTTTCCGTACAATATTTGTTTTCCAACCTACACGCCCACTTGGAAAACGTTTCCCAAGCACTCAACACTTTATACTCAGTATTATTATTTGACACGAGATTTTCTAGCTTATTATATATGGTCCCGGCCAAGCTACTGACGTGAGACTGAACGCAAAAAGTTAAAATTTCTTATTTCATTAATACTCGTTTACTAATTTATTATCATTACACACACAAAGTTTGTAATTTAAATACGTGCGTACCTTAAAGTCTGCGTATCCTTCGTCACTACGAGGCATGCGCTCTAACAAGTACGCGAAACCGTTCATCGCCGAATACCACGGCGTAATATTGTTTTCGTTCCTCAGATATTTGGACAAGTGCAACGGAACTGAATAGTCTAGTTGGCCAGATTTTGCCAAATTGAACGCGTCGTCTATGAGCTGAGCGCGATTGAGCACGTGGATATCGGCGGGTGTGTTGTTCAGCTGCTTTATCAGCGCCATCCAATTGTCCAAATCGTAGTTTATTCGGTACAAACCTGATCAATAGGCAAATAATTTTGATATCGATTATTTTTTTGCTTTAAACGTGCCACATTAACACTTACCGATTGATTGTATGTTGAATATGTACCAATCTACATATCTAGGAGCTGGTATAACGGTCAACGCCGATGTTTTGTTCGTCCAAATGGACGGTTGAAAATAACTGAAATTTTTGCTCGCACTGGTGGTGAACGTGAGACCAATGTGCCATGCCGCCGTTTTGTTAACGATTCCATCGGTTTTATTAATGTAAAATTGGCTCTGTACAAAATTTAAAAAATAAATACAAATACAAAATTTGTCTACGTATAAATACATTATTATGGCGTAAATATATTTACGGGGTTGTTTTGTTTGAGCGAAACAAAATATTATCACTGTCGTATTGAGTTACAATCTGTGATTGAAACTTATTTTAAAATTATATAAAAATATAATGGTTTTTGCTTTATTACTTGAGTCGCTAAAAATGTATTTGTAGTTGCATTTCTCGTGATATTTAGAACCGGGTACCCTGATTGCAACGTCCAATTTGACATGAATTCATTGACTGTCAAATCATTTCCGAGGAAATAATCGGCTTCATATAAAACATTATCGAATGATGCAAACAAATCTGAAGGCTCTGCTACATTTTGACTATAAATATAATCGAACAATTTTAAAAATTATTATGTAATTAAATATTGATATATTATTATACAATAAAATACGCAACGAAATTTTTACTATCAAGAAAGTGGGTGTTGAAGTTAAATCGTATACAATTATTATTTACCTGAATGTGTTCAAATAATATTGAAGGGATGATTTAAATAGATCTTCAGTCACCAAGTACTTCAACATTCTCAGAACCGACGCCGCTTTACTATACGATATGATGTCAAACACGTTTTCGATCTCTTCGGGAGTGTTCACAGACGCGGTTATTGGATGTCGAGGTGTCTGGTCATATGCCAATGCACCTTGAAATACTTCAACCAGAAACAATTCTTCCATAAGCCAGTTGGGTCTAACCTACTCCGACAATAACAAATGAGTATATTTCAAGACTAAAAATGAAATAAAATTATATTTTTTGTATTTTATACCATTCCAGTAGCAAAGTATTGAAAATACTGCGCAAAACCTTCATTCAACCATATATAGTCCCACCACTTACAGGTGACCAGATTTCCGAACCATTGATGAGTGAACTCGTGTTGTACAATTATAGATGAGCGCATTTTCATTCTCGTTTTCGATTCGTTCGCTAGCAGCAGATAGCTTTCCCTGCAAAAATTCAAATATTTATATAACCGAAAAACAACAATATTAATCGTCATGACCACTCGTCTATCATGCCTTACTGATAATTATTGATTCCCCAATTTTCCATCGCCCCAAAACTCAAATCTGGTACTGCCAATAAGTCCATTTTAGGCAGCATATACAACAAATTTGTGTAGTTTTCCAGAACACGAAGATGTTTTGGAGCTTCGTTTATGATATACTCAGTTTGATCGGATAGTTCTTGGTGCGTGTAAACCGTTATCATTGACGAATCCTTCTTACCATTACTTTTTGGTACAAATTCACCCACGTAAATTGCAACCAAGTAACTCGACATCGGTGGGGTTTGAACGAAATAAACCGTTTCCGTTTGGTCCAAACTAAAATCGAAATTGTATTAATAACAGTTGTCAAGTGACACTTGATACAAATTTAAATTTTATATTTTGATTGAATAATTTATGGCCGTTCTAATTTTCAATTATTAGAAATCTCGTGATGAATTGCATATTATCTTTTCAAGTTAACCATGACGTGAGCAATATTCGAATACTTGAACTACAATTTGATACTGAACTTTAATAGAATATTTCTATTTTTGTAGTTTATGATTAGATACTCGTACTTTAGTTATTCAATGTTTAAGACATTTGAAGTTTCAATAATATTATATAATTTAAATAGACAATTATATATAAGTGACCTTTTTACATAAATGTAATCTCTTGTTTTATTTATAGTGCGATTTAAATAGTTTAGTATACCATATAACCATTTTAATATCTATAACATAATATATTTATATTCAATGTTTTAATTTATGGAATATTCTCTACACGCTTTAAAAAAAAATGTAATATTATGGAAATATTAAGTACCTACCCAAAGTCATTATTTAACTTAGTAAATATGAATATTAGGTTGTATATTACGAATATTTTAAAACGTCATGTTTTGTAACAACTTAATATTGTATTATCATTATTTATTAGATTATGTACTGATGTAAAGTGTTATGTTTTATAAATACAGTGTACCCAGAAAATATAATATATAACTATAAATAACTGTTATTTAATTGTAAATGTTTTTTAAAATATTTTTTACCACATTTTAAAAGTTATTTTCATTTTATTATTCATAAGTCTTTACAGACTCTACTCGGAATCATTATTCACCATATTATTCAATATTACCATTATTTATCATGGATTCATATATATTATCACATCCGTTAAAATGTAACCTAATTAATTATAAAGTACCTATACAAAAAACTTAACATAATTTATATACAACAGATCGAAATCCCGTCATTTTCTTTTTTAAATCTATAGCATAAAATACTTTTTATAAGAATAATAAAAACAGAAAGACAATTTCTTATTAAAATACAATTCAAAGTTATTGAATAATTATAAATTGTTACTCATCAATTCATCAAATGATTTTTGAATTTGAACAAAATAATATACAAACTAAGTAATTTTTGAAAAAAATTTAAAATATCATGAAATCACCACAAACTGGTTAAGAAGCAGTCATAGAAAACATACTATATTTATTCGTTCTGTATTGAGCAATATAAATAATAATATTTACCAAACGCATAAATGTCGATTCAAGAAAAACCAAAAGAAATACAACTTCTCGATCAATCTATTTGAAATAGTTGTAATCAATTTTATCGGAAATCTAAAAGTATCAACTGTATTAAGGATACGAATCAAATCATATTATACATAATTTTAATGCATATAATATTTTTATCATGTAAAAAATAAAATGTAAGACTGTATTGAAAAATAATGTTCCTTCTTGCCCATATTAAGTTTAAAAAAAAGAAAAAAAATATCATAATATAAATACAAGTACAATAAATTTTTTGTGCATAATTATATTTCTATAAATACCAAGTTATTTTACAAATGGTTTTCGTAGAAATTAAGATGACACTTCGTTGATACATTACTAAATCCTTAATTTATGTAATATATTTCGATTTCCAATTTGTGTATTTATTGTTATTAATACAATAAAATTAGGCATAATATTATTCGCAAGTAGTCTAGCAGATGTTTTAATTATTGAATCGAGTTATATCAGTAGATAAATTGTAACGATTTAAAAATATATTTTCCCCGCTTTAAAATTATTAATATACGAAATAAATCCGTCAAGAGAGGATTATGTTATTTACTCTAAAAATATTATTGAAAACAACCTACCCATATTAGAAAATATGTGGGAAGTTAATTCTTTGAAAAAAATTTACTTGAATAGAAAATTACTAGTAAGTTTAATCCAGGTATGAACCATAAGAGTAACTAATGTTAAACTTAAATTAATTTATAATTTTAACCTCGTTACTTGAAATCATTAAATTTTCTATGTTTCATAATTTATAGTTAACGATTATTAAAAAAAAAAAATTTTAAATAAACTCAATAAATCGATTTTTATCAAAAAAGTTTTGACAATTTTTTTTGTGCTTACCTGGATTCGATATATTGGATTGGCATGTTGGACAATGCAATTTGATGCTTTTTTTTAACTACTGATATGTTGAACTTTACTTTGTACGCGGGTTCATCGTAACACGGGAACGCTCTCCTTGCATAAGTTGGCTCGAATTGTGTTACAGCAAACCACCTGTAGCATTTCGTTAGGACCGTAATATCGAATATATTTCGATGCTTAAATTATTGGTACAATAGATAATAATAATTTTTTACTTACTTAGTCACACCTCGCTCCTTGTAAGAATCCAAATACAAACCAGTCATATCAGTTCTGATATTTCCAACGTACTTAATCGACACCTGCAAGTATTTTCCTATCGGTATGGACATTTTTAATCGAATTTCCAACTGTTCGTCCTCCGTCAGATATACCCACCCGCTTATACCCAAAGGTCTCGGGTTTTCCCTGACATCCGTAACCATCACGTCGGTTACGTTCAGGTCCCTGAGATTCAGGGTCACGACGTTGGAGACCGAGACGACAATGATAGTTATGTTCGCGACGCCACTGAACGTTAAGTTATCGGTATCATCAAAGTCCTGGAACTCAAATCGCAAATCATAATGGTCCGGGACCGTATTGCCAGGAAGCCGGAATACGGCGTTCGTAGTGTTTTGTAGATTTATATTTCCAGCCTGTCCACTTGACTGTTGGACCGGGGGGAATAAACAAAATACGTAGACCAAAAAATATCTCCACATAACTGCAGCTGCGGTGCACGACGAAAACTTGCAACAATTTCAACTCTTGACTAGTGAGCTAAAACTGCCGTGTATGATATGACGTTACAATGTTTACGTGTAAACCCAACGAGTCCGTATCAGTTTTATCTTAACTAGCACCAATTCCGAATCTCTGTATATGTTGTATTAAGGTCATTCACCTGCCAATGATATCGATGTTGAAATTATTTTATTTTGGAAAAATATGATACGGTTTACGACCCTTTAATCGCAGCAAGTAATCCGTCAACAACACACTACTTGAAACGAATGTCATAGCTATATATTTGACGTTATCTACTTCCAGCCACGTTAGAAGTACGTGTAAATTATTTCAGTGGACTAATTTCTGAGATATCATGATTTTTGTTCAAACGCACTGACGACCAAACGAAATGTGACTAACCCATTATTGATCTATGACCATATTAATTTCAGTCTATACCAATATATTTCTCGGTTTTTTTTACGTTTTTCCCTTCAGTATTAACTTCTTTGTAAGCATTAGACATGATTTATGAGTTGTGAGTGAATCGATGGCATTCGACCACATGACTGTGTCAAATTATATATAATATTAAACATACAACTCTAAAGAAAATGCAATTTGAATTTAGTTGCTTGATGCGTTCATACAATAAATATCTGTTCATTACAACATAATTCTTTTTTCTTTTTTTTTATTGAACATTTATACATCAACTACTAGGCAATAAGTTTTTAATTTATATTGTATTTACATTTGAATTGGAGTAAGGATACATTTAAACTTATATTAGTTTAAATAATTTGATTTCTCTTAAGAAGTTAATGATGATTGTATAATTTTTAGGTCACTGATCTGTTATTTAATGATCTGCTGCACCTCTATTTGTCAATTTGAGTACTTTTTAATAATTTTATTTCATAGAAAATACACCAATAAGATTTTTTTTTATCGAAATTGTACGTAGGTACTTGAATCGTTGTTACAAATATCATAAATATAACGAGTTTTTTTTTTTTTTACAAAAAGTAATTTTTAGTTATTACTTATTTGAAATGCTCAAATTTCAATATTTTTATCTTTTTAGAATAATTAGAGAATATATGAAAGAAAACAAAAGTAAATAAAAAATTTAAATATTTAATACAAGGTTCGTTTTAGTTATTATTAATTCAGTGACGTTAACTAGGTGGTACAAATGTAGCACTTGCACCACCACATCTAAAATATGGTGGTGCAAAGGTATGTTTTTGCATCACCAGAAAATAATTGAAATAAAATTTTTATACCTATGATATAATTTTTAATTTTGTAAGAGTTTAAGAATCTTATTTTGTATAATATATATATATACAGGTACAAAATTGTAATATTCGTGCATGTTTTAGACCTTATTAATTAAACTATTTATGACCATTTAAAAATAAAAAAATTGTATAGTTAATGTTAGCTATATTTTTTTAATTTAAAAACATTATTTGTAGGAGCTTAAAACTTTTAAATGAATTGAAAATGAATTAAATTTTTTAAATATGTATTCTTTAAACTATCTATTTTATGAACCTATTCAAACTATTTTATAGTAAGGTGATATTCATTCGAAATGTAATAAAAATAATGTAAATGATGTAGATATTTTATTAGAGTTATTATATATTAATTATATAAAAAATGCAATTTTTCAGCAAAAATATATCAACCTACCGTAATGTCCGTAATAGTTTTTGTACTAATACAAAATAAATTACTCTAACCTTTGGTGACTCGTGCAGGATAATAATTATTTACTCAAATATATTTTAGATTATGAAGTGAATTTTCTATACTGAATTGAGTAAATGCTATGTAACAGTAATTATTCAAAATTATAAAAATGTTTTCAATTTTTTATTAATACAACACAAAAAATCAAAAATAAATTAATTGTCACGACGTTACAATTAATATATTTCAATAACAATTACAAAAAATTTTTTTTAGTTTCTAATATAATAATAAACACTTATTAATTTATTTTATTTAATTAAAAATATTATTATTTTAATTGAAAAAACAATACCCCACACTCGTAACTATACGTAGTCTGATACCACGTGCGTCACTTAAGTTTAATAGCAATATCAAACAACATACAACGAAATATGTTTAGAATCGTTTTTGTGTTCAATGATATGTCATTGAACTCATGTTTCATCCATTATTCGAAACCTCTGTATAGCAGAGCGGTTCTACTTGACTATATTTTTTTTTAGTTAAGTTTACAGTTTAAATCGTACTCTATTTTATGTTTTATATGATTGATAAAATTAATGTTTGTAAATAAAACAAAAAATAAGTAAGAAATTATAAAATTTTAATTTTAATTTACTTTCCCAAAAATTAAGTACCATCAAAATGTAACTAATATGAAGACATAAGTATTAAGTAATAAATAATGAACACAACAGTTTTTAAAATTGACCGAAATTGCATAAATACAACTTAAAGTGTCAATAGTTATTCTACTGTTATATTCGTATTATTAAATTATTTTTTTTTTTTACTTTTCATTTTGTTTAAGTTCAAAAATGTTGGAGAGGTGGACGTAAACGGTTGTTGGTTCGTTACAGAAGAAGCAGTAGTAACTGAAGTAATAATTGAAGTAACTGTTGTGGGCTTGGTGTAAGTGTTTCTTCTTTCGTGGACTTCAGTGTAGATATTATCATTTAGAGTTCTAATGATAAAATCTTCAGTCGCCGAATTTAGTGTGGATGTTTCTATCGCGTTTTCTTTGTATCCGTACTTTGATGTCCATTAGCTAATTTCAGCAGAATAACTATCGAATCATACTAAGTTGAGTTTAACGTTTTTGGACATCGTATTAAACGACGATTATAATATGGAAGGTGGAAAGAGTTAAATTGAGTAGAACACGATTGCGTATGTTTGTAGATGACTATTAATTTTACTATATACCTAATAAATATCAAGTAAAATATGTATACTTCTATAACAATTAACAATCAATGTAAAATAATAAAATACACTTAATGAGAATAACTAAATAATAGTAAAATAATTAATAAATAAATAAAATCATCAATAAATTATTAATAATATTATTAATGACGCTTAATACTTCATACATGATCGTGTAGTTAAAAATCAGGTAAAATCTTACGCAATCGTGTAGCTTAAAAAGGTATCACTGATAACGAACGTATGCAATCGTTTTTTACCCGTTACATTATCATTTTTCAAATTTCTTATCTAAAAAAATAATTATATACTTAATTAATATACCAATAGATGTATACGATGGTGGATAGCAGTCATTTTTTTATCTAAAGTTTACTAACGACCGATATTTTTATTATATTCTCTACTAATTGTCCAAAATCGCTTGTCTCTCGTCATTCCATTTGTCAATAAGTCGAATACTATTCTATACGTATAAGAAATACAATTCATATTTTATATTTACAAAATATTTAATTAATTTTACTATTCTCTGTTTTAATGTATTACTATGTTCATGTTTAACCTGTATTTAAATGTATACCATTAAACAGAGGGACTTAGTAATTCGATTTTCAATAATTAATCAATTGATATTGATGATTATATTAATGGCGTGTTGATTTAAAACGCAAATACGTTATCAAAGACCAATGAATCGTATCTGTTTTGCACTCCGGCACAAAATGTCGCGTCCTTTCTCGATATCGACAAGTCGTCTGTACTATAATAACTAGGGACCGGATTAATATGCACAAAAAATCCTCAAAATATGCTTCTAAAAATATTGTAATATGCTGTAAAATATGCACTAGAAAATATAAATCGAAAATATTTTATTTAAAATTATGTAAAAAATAAGTATTAAAATAGGTATAAGAATGTTTTAAAAGTATAAAAAATATTTTGTCATTTTCGCCATTCAACATTCTTTATCTTTAATTTATAAAATATTAGCCCACATTAATAAAAAATTAAAACAAAAATTGATTTATATTAATATATTATAATATATAATCATGTGTTGTATTTGAGGATATGTCATCTTGGCAATAACGACCAGTTGTAATTTTATTAATATTATGTAGCTGTGAACGTGAAAATACGACAAAAAACAAATACCTACATGTGCTGTTAATAATAACATTCACTATAAAACTATTAATATTTATTACATATCATACATTTAATAGGTAAAACCGTTGAAATATGTAAAATATGCAAAATACAATTAATGTTATTTTAATAAGAATGATCTAATTTTGGGATAATTCTCATCAGATTTTAAAACTTTAATCCAATACATATAAACATTTGCATATAAACCTGGTCTCTAATGTTAACTTAAAACTAAAGGAAAAGAAGTATAATGTTAAAAATGTTGAATGATAAATGGGGAGGCCAAAACAGGGGCTTAAGATAATTATAAACAAAGTAGTTTAAAAAGGAGATAGGGATAAAATAATAGGGCTCGGATTTGATAGATATTTTCCTATATCTGTCTTATAAATTCCATAAAATATAATCACTTACTAGATGCAATTATTAGATGTACGTTAATTTCTACATGGCTTTTAAATGCGAATCGTCACTTCCATCAGTGATGAAAGATTCATGTTGGAAGTAACTGTTATCTGCGTGTAACAACTTGACCGTTGATTATTTATTACCATTAAACTATACAATGATATGTCGGAATATCATTACAGTACGAGACAATTATTAACGTTAGGTATTTGAATTTTAGCAATACTATTATACGGTTACTGACTTCTCTCCGATTTGACACGTTTTAAAGTATTTCTGAGCTTTCATCCTACAGTATTTGTTCTCGAACCTACACGCCCCGCTTGGAAAATGTTACCTAACTATTCAAAATTCTATAGCCAGTGTTATTGTTCAACACGAGGTTATCTAGCTTATTATATATTATATGGTCGCCGTTAAGCTGCTGATATGAGACTGAACGCAAAACTATCGAAATATTTATAACATGACTATTTTTTTATTATTGCGTCAAGTCTGTGAATGCCTATATTGAGTAAATTTAATATTTGCATATTCGTACAATAAAATCTGTGTATCTCGAGTTAACAGATAAAATTATAATAAGTTAAAACAATATTTTTTAAATTCAAATTCAGTTAAAACGATGAAAAATTATTAAAAATCACGTCGTTGCTAAGAAATTTTTTTTTTGTTTATATTGATATATCAATGAATTCAAATTTAACAGATCCATTACAATGACTCACTGGATATCTACTGTACAGTTGAGTGACCACCTTTTTAATACATTTTCCTAATATTTTTTATCTATGATAGTTTTCTTAATATTTGTTTATTTTACTCTTTCGTCATCACATAGGTATAAAAAATACTATATACTAATACTCGTAAGTATTATTATTTAGTAATAATATTCAAACTATTTTTGCTATTTGTTTCATCAGTCATGGCTGAAAATTAGTCAATACAAATATTCCAAATTTCAAACTTTGTATATCAATTTAATTTTTAAATCTATAATGGGAAAAGATAAGTTTTTCGCTTAGTCACACTATATCTAAAAAAATACAAAACTGAATTCATTCATAGCGAAAGGCAAAAACAAATTTTTGGAATTAATTATTTTGTTTATATTTATGTTTTGAAGACAAGTGCATTCATACCTAAGTTTTTAACTTTTATTTTCAAAATAAAGGTTTCTTTAACCCAGTACAGTAGGCTATTTTTAAAACTAGCCCCACAACATCTCCGTCCATGTTCTCGTGTATATAATTGTCATCGTCAGACTAACTACGTTTATTTTCCACCGGCGTCAATTAATTTGCTTAACACCACGAAATCAGAACTCTTCATAAACTTTATTTTTCATGCACCTCCGGCTTAATATTTCATACTTTTACAAATTAAATGCCTTATATTATTGTCTAAATAGTTATAAACACGACAAATTATTAGTATAATTTTATTATAATCGATGACATTGTCCAAAAAAATACCGATACAATATAATATCGGAATATATAATATTATATAGATATTTTAGCAGTAAATATATCATTGTCAATTTTTTTTCTCAAATTTTTTAAAATCAATATAATTTAGATTATGATTGAATATAAAACTATAGCCTTTATACATAGATACATATAGTAAGTATTAAATAATTTATTAGAAAAATATAAATAGATAACTCAATTTTGTATACAAACAAAACATCATGATCGTTACGAACAATTATAGTGAACGACTTACAGCAACTACTCGGGAATAAGTATAAACGTCATTTTACCATAAAATATAATATTTTTAACAATATGCACCATACTCTATTGCTACATCCGTCGCCTCGTAGTGCGATTGTAAAGTTTTCTATGAAGGTACTATAATAATAATTATATCGTCGGTCTGCGTGAATCGAAGACAATAATCGCAGAACCGTAAACATTCGATACCGCCGTCGGGGGGGGGGGGCGGTTTTCGATGCTTTCTCGCAGGACGTCCGCAACCAGGGCCGGAAACTACGGCCACGACGACAGCAGTTGATGTCGCGCCAAACACAGCCACAACGCCGCCGATGCGAAGAGGATACGCCAAGTGAACGGGGACGCCGTTTCGAGGGACCGACCACCGGAAGTACCGATCGTCCACGTTTCGGACGGGTCATCGCTGGTGGAATGATAGCTGCCTGGCTGTGGGTCTTCCGACAATCCAAGTCTGAGCACGGCGGCCGCTGTCCATTCACCTATCGTCGAATGATGTGCTTCGAACCACGCCAGGTTGTCGTCCACCCGATCGCGGTACGACGCGTCGAATTGCCGCCGAAGACGTTCCGGTACCGACGAGTTTTTCCTCAGGTCGTCAATCTTACAAACATTATTTTTTTATTTTTAGTTAAACACATTATATCGATCTAAGCGTAAATTTCCGTAAAGGGTTAATAAATAAAAATACAAATAAGCGGCTATCGATCATCACGATCACTATTCTTATGATCAGCGATTATATGAGAGTGCAAGGCGTCCGCACACATGCGCGTACCAGGCGGGAGGGACAAGACGGAACATTTTCACCTCCCTTGAATTTTAAATTTGTTATCTAATTGTAATAATTTAATATAATAATGACTAAACATAATAATGTACTGTAAATAAAATGTTAGTAAAAATGTAAAAAAAAAAACCTTTAATTATTTTTTAAATTAATTTTTCCTCCCTAGAAAAATGTATGGGGACGTCCATGTCCACACATGACCTATTTTTATTGATGGCGGTTCAGTAAATGCACCGAATGCAGACCACTGGAATGAAATTTGAAAAGTTGAGCTCAATAATTTATTGCCACTATTCACCCTTCACTGCATTATCATGCATACACACGCACACGTTTTTTGGGGAAAATTTACGACCCCCATTGATGCTTTCCGGTATAGACAGATTTGAATACCTTTTGTATTTCATCGTCGCGAGCCGCCTTAGAAGCCAACAACGCATATATAGACGTGGCTACTTGTTCCCCATTGATTATTTCGTTTACGATCCGATCGAGTTTGGTGGTCAAGAACTCGATTAACGCCGTGATGCCGTGTGGGGTCGACGCCAACGTGCGATATATGACTCTAAAGTCTTGCGGCAGAATTGGGCCGTTATACCCTTTAAACATGAAGTCCAAATACCTTTGAAAATAAAATACGCTTCACAGTTTAAAAAAAAAAAAAACAATACGTCGATTGCTAAAAGTGCGTCGGAAAAACAGCGACCGTTACAAAAGTAAAGACCAAAATCGACGTTTTTGTGTATTATAATAATTTCTGTGTCTCTATATTTCGCAATGTATTTACTTTGACAATTGAATAAGATCCTTAGAACAAGCCAACGCCGACTGAGCGGACTGTCGATCGGATGCCGATTCGGATCGAATGTACACGTCGAGCACTTTGTTCCACACTTCCGAATCGCCGTATTTCACGCCTACGCAAAACGCCGCGTCCCTGATATCGGCCGGTATTCTAAAAACAAATAAACGAACGTCGACAGGTAAGCATTTCCGGCTGGCCATCGTCTTCGTAGACTTTATTGTATAATATTACTTGTAACCCCGACGCCATTTCTGGAAGTAAGAAAAAGCCGATTGTGTGCAAGGCTCGTTGTCCAGCTTGCACGCCCAACTCGAGAACGAGTTCCAGCCCGTGTTGACGGTGTGGTCCGTACTGCTGTGGTTCACGACAAGATTTTCGGTTTTCGCGTATATCAATCCGGCCAAGTGCCCCACGTAAGTCTACAAGTATACGCGATTAAATAACGCATAATTAATATTATTTATGTACAAACTCGCTTAAAGTCATAATTAATTATTTCATTTTATAACCAAATACCTTGTAACTCCGATAAATAATTCACAGAAAACAAATAAATAAATAAGACGATAAAATATCGAACTAGTTTCCCCTAGACCGACAATTAATAGTAATATTTACTTTGAGCTTCTTGTAACCGTTCGGACAACGTCTCATACGGTTCATCAAATACGCGAATCCACTTTGAGCCGAATACCACGGAATCGGGTCGTTTTCGTTTTTCAGATATTCCGACAATCTCAAAACCAGTCTATAATCCACTCGGCTTGCTTTGGCTAAATTAAACGCGTCGTCTATCAGCTGAGCCCTATTCAATACGTGTATTTCATTGCAATCATTATGCAGCTGACTTATTAAGGCATTCCAATTTTCTTCTTCATAGTTAACTCTAAAAAACCCTAAAATTTTCATTTTTAAAAGTTAGGTGTATTCATTTTACAGGAACTAAAATTAAAACTGATAAAATTATTTGTTTATACACGACTTTACCGATTGACTGTAGATTGAAAATATACCATCCGGTTCCATTTCGATCTGTCAAAACAGTCTTGTTTTCTTTCAGCCATGTCTTAGGTAAAACGCTGTTAAAATCTTTTCTATTTTGCGTCGTGTAAGTAAGACCGATAATCCATTCCGTTGCATTATTGTTGGTTGTATTGTTAGAACCATAAACCAAAAACCGTTTCTAAAAAATCGTAACCCCTTTATTTTTTCAATATCACTTATCACGTGCACTTTTGATATTCGCATCTACCTGAGTTATGACAAACGTGTCGTTGTTTCTGACGATTTCAACCAACGGATAACCGGGCTGTTCCGTCCATGATCTCATGAACTCGGTGACGGTTACACTTTCTCCCAAATCAAATTGAACGTCAAAAAGTACGTTTTCAAACGCGTCCCACAGATTTTCGGGTGTTGCCGCTTTAAACCTATTTGAAATTAAAAGAAAACGAATTTCTAAATTTTTTTTTTTTTTTGAAACTTTTAATCTGACACTCTCAGATATTCGTATAACTCTCACTCGTTCTTTTTTAGATATAGGTTCAACGCCTTTTTGAAATAGTCCTCGGTCACCACGTACTGTAACATACGGAGCACCGCCCCTGCTTTACTGTAGGATATGTCGTCGAACATGCTCCGAATCTGTGCCGGGGTCTCGACAGAACTGGATATTGCGTGCATCGGACTTTGGTCTGCGTCCAAGGCTGATTGATGCACTTCGTATACAAACACGTCCTCTAACCGCCAGTCCGGTTCAACCTGCAGTAAAATAATATTATATTATTTTTGTTATAATTATTCGTATTGTTATATCACTTCAGCCGTCGACCGAGTATGGATTATTTCATATTATAGATACCGTTTTAGTTGCCATATATTCGAAATATGTAGCAAAACCTTCGTTCAGCCACAAATAGTCCCACCACGCGCACGTCACGAGGTCTCCAAACCATTGATGAGAGAGTTCATGTTGTACGACTGTCGTCACAAACTCTTTAGTTTTTGTTTTGGAATCTTTTGATACTAATAACAGCCTCTCCCTGTCATAACGTCAAAAAAATGTTTGTTTTAAAATTTATATTTTTTAACAATATTTATATGGACGACCTCGCAGGGTATGCTTTATCTCATTTTAACTACCTATACTGTGTTTATTTAAAATCAAAATTTTCAATTCTAAATTTGTTTTTATTTTTAACAAAAGAAGTATGTATTATAAAATACATATACACTTCTCGAATACTAATAATTCGTCTACTTCTGTATCCCGTGTGTTCATTTAAAACGTTTTTTTACGACTAATAGGTATAATACAAAACTGCATAAAATCATATATATTATGTATATTACGAAAGTGCCGTAAGAAATTGTAGTTCACAGCAGTGAAAATTATTATTATATGTGGTTTTAATATTTTCTTTATTCATTACCTGTATGTGTTCAAACCCCAATTCTCCATCGCACCTGCTGCGAAGTCCGGAATCGCCAATAAATCTAATTTGGGTAACGTGTAATCCACTCCTGTAAAGTTCTCCATCGCTTCGAGTAACTTAGGCGATTTTTCCGCAATGTATTCGGCCTGCTTCACGTAACGCTTGTGCGTGTACACTCCGATGTTACGCGTTTTCATGGCGTAAAATTCGCCCACGAAAAACGCCACCAAGTACGTAGAAATCGGCGGAGTCTCCGTGTAGTGATCCCAATACATGTTTGTATGTTGTCTGTATGTGGATAGAGAAAAATAGATGGATTATTATAGGTACTATAATATTATGGTCAAAATGTTCAGAAATAGTTTAAATATAGCTAGGTTACCTAACGCGCCCAACACAGTCGAACAAAAACACAAAAAGCATATAATATTATATGCTTCGTCTTCTCTTAATCATTATCATCATTGTTACTTATTGTTTTATGTGTAAACAGATTGTAATATATTTTAATAAAAATAAAAATAAAAATATACATGCTTACATTTTGGTGGAATTCAACAACGGCATATTGGACAAAGATATTTGATCTGATCTCCTTTTGATGGACACCGTGAACGGTGCTTTGAGCGCGGGTTCGTCGAAACAGGGAAATGCTTTTCTCGCGTGTGTGGGTTCGAATTTCGTCACGGCTAACCATCTAAAACCAAATAATATATTAATTTATACTATTCGTAAAATTAAAAACAATAAATAAGCGCCTCATTACACGAGTGGACACGAATCGTACTTTGAAATTTCACACCGCCCGTTAAACGATATATTATCATTATTATTGGTATATTATACCACTTCAAACCATTATAGTAATAATATGCTTTTTATCAATTCGATTGGTATAAACATACTGTAATTTTTTACGTATATATCATTACTTACACTCTATACGGACGATGACGTGTGAACAAATTTATTATACACCGCGGAATACAGTAATAGTTTTCTCGGCGTAGAAACCAATATAAGCGAGTGCATTAGTTGTGAAGTTAGGAAGTACTAAAATAATTTATTATACGTAAATATTCCTATTGTAAAATCAAATAAATACGAAAATTGAAACAAAAAAATTAACCAATAATTCGTAAAATATGTCAAACATACTCGGAGAAACGGTAATAAACAATTTACTTAAGACCCGTGGATGCTAAATCAATGACCGATCGGACAACACTCTTCGACCTTTTCAAAAATATAATGCACTATGTGCAACTTAATTTGGAATAATATTACACACAGAAGAAAGACACGTGATATATTTCGAAACTAGTGTAGTTACTTAAATGTCCATAGTCTCTGGCAAGGATATATTTTGCTCTCCAATATTAATACATTTTAAGCAATTTTTGAAAATGTAACATTAAACATTAAATGTTTGAGATGATTCTGTAACTCAAGATCAGAATTTACAAAGTATGAAAAAAACTTAAACTGAAACAACTAACGTTTAAAAAATCAAATAAAACAGAATTAAATTTTTTTTTTTTTAAATCTTGTACAATATTTTTACGTATAATGTAAATATATCATGATATACACAACTCCATAAAACCCGAAAACCCTTATAAACCTAAGCATACAAAGCAACTTAAATAACTTATAAATGATCTTTTTATCATAAAAAAAACAATGGAGTTACCTGAAACCCTTTTTGTTTACTATTATTAAAACTCTATTTAATACATCGTTTTCGGTAAGTATAATTTAGTTAATTATTTTAGTTTTTAGAAGTTAAATCGATTATGTAGTTAGGTTTTTGGTAATAATTATTTTATTTATATATTATAATTAATTGAAAGACACGCAGAAAATATTTTAACTTTTAAACAAATTAAATTGTTTTTAATTATTTAAAATTTAAATAGATATTTTAAAATTTCGTAATAGTAATAACACTACTAATAGGCTTAAATCTAATCATAGTGTAATATTTAATGATATGAAATGATATTTTAAGAAATAGAGGCGATAGAGGTGAAACCCAATTTCGATCGTTTTACTTTCTATTTTCAATATAGCGCGAACGAGCTTCGGTTAATCAATGAAGCATTTTTTCGACCAAAATATGAATAATTTTTATCATTAATCCTTTATTTTTAAGTGTTTTCACGTGCAAGGTCACGTGAATCACGCTAGTTATAATCTGTTTATTAATAACTGTAAGGACTATAAGCCATAAGATATAATATTATGATAGTAATAATCATAGGCGTAAATAAGGGTTTATATCCATTTCGACAATAATGTGGGGCATTAATTTGTAAAAGTTTAAAATATTAAGCTAGAAGCGAACGAAAAATAAAGTTAATAGAGTGTTCTGATTTTGCGGTGTTAAGCAGATTAATTGACGCGCCTGTGTGAAAATAAACGTAATTAGCCTGACAATGGCAACTATATGAACACGAGAACACGAGCGTAAATATGGTGAGACATTTTGAGCCCTTCCCAAAATAATATGTTACATGTCAATCGTAACATACAGTAAAAGGTAAGCCCGAAATCGTACATCACAGTTTTTAAATGTCAAAGTGCGCTGCTAAGAAATATTTTAAATCGTAAATTATCAGATATTCACTTATGCATTAAAATGTGTCACCCGCTACGATCGTGCGCATTTTAATAAAATACACTTTATTTCTGTACAATTTATTTGCCGCCTTTTGGGTTGCATTTGGGTCATATTTTGCGCTTATGGACTACAGCCAAAGGATAATATATCGCACAATGACCACGAGGTATGTCCGACATCGAGTAAGATTGTAATGGCCCAATCACAGTGAAGTATTTTGAAAAGAGGTTCGTCGCGACACCGCCACCCACCGCCACCCGCTCGTGTCGACGCGCGTCTATCCAAATTCTACGGTCGACGAACGAAATTCCTCCACGTCCTCCGAACAACCCACCCGCCCGAAACCCGACGATCCGCGTCAAGGTTCGCGCGGCGTATTGCTGCGTAGGCGGCGCGTACTTGGTGACGTTGCCGTCCTGGTACGAGCTTCTGTAGTAGCCCGACATGTCGTCCCGGAGCGGCGCTTCGAAGTCGACGGCGACCGCGTACCGCCGAAACGGTAACAGGCACCTGCCACCGCCGATCGTGACGATCAGCTGCTCGTCGCCGTCGGCCAGCCGCCAGTCGGCCACCGTCAGCCCCCTGCTCTTGTTGTTCGCGTCGGTCACCCAGACGCCCGTTACCCGGACGTCCTTGGAGTTGAGCACGATCCGGCACAGTTCCGGCGTCACCGTCGACACGACGATGATGTCCACGCTGCCCGAATACGACAGCCCGTCCAGGTCGGTGTCCACGCGCAGCGCGTACGACACGGGCGTCACGCCGGCCGGCAACCTGTGCGCGCCTCGGTGGCCGGCGCGGCGGCCGCCGTGTCCCGGCCGTCCGCGGCCGCGGCTCTCGCGCCGCCGGCCACGTCCGAGTGGTACGACGCCGCGGGCTGCTGCAGGCCGTTCGACTGGCCGGCCACGTCGAGCCGGTGCCGCGGGGCCGCCGCGCCGAACAACAAAGCGAACGTGACGAACGCGTAACGGACCATCGTCGAGTCCTGACTGATCGCCGGTGCCGCCGGGGCACGGATGATCGAGCGGCCGAGGGGGGGCGATAACGTTAATCCGATCCGTTTGCAGATTATGTTTTGATAATGCGTCGTAACGAATAGAGCGCACAGGTATCGATGGCACGTCGTGTCACGTTATCTTCGTCGTCGTCGTCGCGTCGTTGTTTGTTTACTGTGCGACACTGCAGCGATATGGTTCTCGTTCACGCGCGTTTCGCGACGTTTTATAAATTTGCGATTACCGTCGATTAAGGGGGGTGGGGAGGGGCTGCGACTTTGGCGCGCGGTTATACGCGTCGTCGGAACTAGGCAGAGCACACGTCGTGCGTGTACGACAATACTTATAAATTAATGAAAGAAAATACGACGTCGACGTGTAAGTGTAATATATTACGTTTATCCGATTTCGTCGGCCGTGACCGCGTGTTAGATTTATTGAAATTTTTTCTTAAATTTATACTGGCGCTTATGTGATGCTCTGAAACCCTGAAGTTCTCAGACAAACCAAAACTATTGAACTCGCATTAAATTCACGGGCGTACGAATAATTAAGTGTTAAAATTCTCCGCAACCCTTACAAAGTAAAAAAAAAAAAAAAAATTATAACAATAATAGTTATGATAATAATAATATGGTGTTATTATTTCGTTATTTTATTTTCGTCCGTTGCGCACAGCATTCGGTATTTTCGAATAAATGTGCAGCAATAGGCGACATTGCGACATAAAAAAAAAAAATTAAGTCGCAAAACTACTAACATTTATTATTATATTCTGGCAATCCAAACATAATGATAATAATTTTCAAAATCGTACGTCGTTTGAAAAAAAATGACATCGACAAAGATGAAAAAAACACAATGAAACACTCTGTATGTCAAACCTAATCTGACTAAAATTATTGGCAGTGTTTGTGTCAATGAAAATAGAACAACAAATTCTATGTACACACTCAAAGATAATGTGTTATAATCTGTAGCACCTCAAAAATATTACAGTTTACAATTTTACAACACTTAAATTATATATATTATACAAGCACAATCATTTGTCGTATCGTGTGTATACATTACTAAGTTTCACATATTTTAGAATCCAAAAACAAAAAACAATCTATAGATAAAATCGATAAAGTTATATACATTATTATTATTATTATTATATTCACTCAAAGATTTATGTAACGTGGGAACTTAGTTTTAAATTTTAGTTATAGATATCAAGTCAAAATTCCTGTCAAATTGATTTTCAATATGAAATTTAATATTAAATAGGTATATTGGAAATAAGCAACTTGAAATCACGCCCATATCTACGTTGATCAGACAAATGATATTTTTTTTTTCTATTCAGTCATAAATTGATCAGCTTGTCATATTGCCACATATATGTTGTCAAAATACGTATCACATAATCTTTTACAGGTTCACGCAGACAATATTATCGATTCGATATTAACTATACGCCAATTTAGTAAAATTTACAGTTTGTTGGGCCCATTTGTTTTACTTTTTTGCATCAAATGTGCTGTTTCTTTTGGGTCTGTGAATATTCCAATGCATTGTAATGTTTACTTAGTTTTTCTAAACTAAAATCAAAAGAAAATATGCCAACGACGTGGTTATACGTTTTCAAAATTAATTTGTCCGCCGTAGTTATGCACACAGTGTACTTATAATAACGGGAGTGTTGTGTTGGGATAGGATAAATTTCGCAATACTTGTAAAAAACTATCACACTGCTATAATATTATGATAATATATATTTAATCCGAATGATAAATATAGGTATTACAATCAGTAGCTCATCGTCGGGATTAGGTACAGTAAAATAATAGGCAACGTATATTTACGCATGTCGAAAACTTGAAATATTATTAGTAATCTCAAAATTAATTATATCTCCACTCGTAATTATTATTATATACTTACGCATGTCCATGCCGTGGTGTTCGTGATACTGAAATATTAACGCATAATAATATACAACCATATAATATTTAAAGACTGAAAGACCGTAACATTTTCCTAAAAATAGCTTTTACCCGATAGTTAAAAAAAAAAAAAACTAAATTCCATTATAAAAGCGCATATAAACCTACGGTTAGCACCAGACTCGCAGGTTTTTGTGAGTTATTTTTAACAACGGCCTTTAATTTATTTTCTCCTCAAAACGTTCGTCAAAAAATTAAATGACGGCTCGTTTTTAAAACTGAGAAAACGCGTTGCTAGTCCCTTTACTTTAGCACTTAAAAACGCCCAGGTGTTTCGTTTCGAAAACCATCGGAAAAATATAAGTAAAAGAAAAAGAATGACAGGGCAGTGTACGGTGATGACCAGGTGGCGGGAGGAAGTGTAAAAAATACTCTTCGTCGAATATGACGTTCCTGACAGCAGTGTTCGCCCTCGCTAAAATGATATTTCAAACATAAACAAGGCACTATGCGAACACATTTTTGGACGCCCAACTCTTTCATTCATATTGTGTAAAACACTTCCTGGTTTGGGCGTGTCCTTAAAAAGTACATTGTATATTCGCGCATTTACCTTCTTCCCTTTTTTTTCTGCTGTTACATCAAATGCTATTTCCTATTATTTTCAATGAAATAAAAATATATTATACATTAATAAGTAAAGCAAAATTTTAACGTCTTCCGCTTAAAACTGTTTATCGTTGTAAGATAAAATAAGACGAAACGGTGAACCATTTAATCGATCGTCCGATTACTCCATGTTATAATGTGTATCGTTATAATATTATTAGTGTACGCTATTGTTGAGTTTCTTTTCCTCCGAGACAACGGTTTGCACGCAAACAAAAAATCCAATTACACGATTTTAGCTGTTCTATAACAATATACTGCAGCGATGTAGGCAGGCATACTATATCATAGTTATGCAACGGAGGTAAATTAACTAACATAATATTATAGAGTATTATGTACTGTAGGTCGAACGTGTATATTGTTTAAGACTTACGAATGATGGGCGTTTAAAACGTTAAATAACGGTAAGAATAGTAAAATAACATGATTTACTAGTTAATAATGAATAATTATAATTAAAACGGTAATCCCGTAAAATCGCGTGCAAGACAATTTACGTGCACTTATGACAACAATATAATGCAATATAGATGTATGTGGTGGACGATCCATTGTATAAGATGTACTATTACATTATATATAATACATTTAAATACACCTATCATACAAATTACATTCAGTAGATAATGTATTTAATACATTGTAGAATGTTTGTCTTATCATTAAACACTAGTTTTGTTGATAAATTCTTTCGTTTTTAAAAACATTAATTTTTCAATGGTTTTCTATCGATTATTACAAGACTTTGTTTTTAAATATATTTATACATTTTTGTTTTTACAATATTTTTTCATAACAATATTTTAAATAATCTAAAATAAAATACCAAACTTTAAACAACAACAATTTTTGCTGAAACAATTAAAAATGTAATAAAAAAAAATAATAATAACAAACCGATATATTTTATAAACATTTCAAGTTTAGATAAGCTGAATGAAATGGTATGATAAAATATTGATTAAAAATTAAATTTTGATGAATAAAATCTTTTAAAAAAATTGTATAGAAATATAATATACATAAAAAATATACTTATATTTTCATTTAAAATAGTAATAACTTAAATGGTAAAATGATAAAAAAAGTATAGCATAATATAGTAGGTAATGAAATTACTTAAAATTATGGATAAAAAAAAATACAAAATATATTAATTTACCTGAAAAATAATTATTTGGTAATAAAATAAAATATAAAATTGTAATTAAAATTATCTATTACAATGATGATTTAACTATACAAAATAAATCATGTTTTTGGGATCCGAAATGTGTGAAGACGAATGAGCGAAATGTTTCTCGTCTAACTTTGAATGTGTGAAGAAGTATTAGAAGAAATAAACCGTATTGATCTGATGCGACATCAATACAAAATGTATAGTGATTTTTAAGTCACTTTGATGACTACAAACATATCAAATTTAAAATGACTTTTTCTACTATTGCTATTGCTGTAATAGGGTGATGCCTATGTCTCAAACCGTTTTGTCATAAATCGCATTGTTGTTTCATAGTTTTTCTGTAATTTTCCTAAAAACTGCTGCGAATTCAGACCCTTCTAATAATATGTACCATCTGTGCCCAATTTCCAATCGATAGGTTGAACTAAAATCAAAACTTACCGAGCACACTCTTTTTTCCTCGGTAAAAATGTTAGAGGACACAAAAACAAAAAATGATATAATTATAATAATAAAAAAAAAATGACACATCGTAAAGCCGATATCGTGTTCTCATGAACCTAAAACAACGATAAACCTATGATCGTAAAATAAATATATATATATATATAATATGTAATTATATAAGTTATTGCAGCTGAATAAAAGTCGAAAAAATTAAATGTTCCACAATACTACAAGATACAACCATTATACTGCAATATATTTTATAGGTTTTACTATACATATAAATTCACTTATTCAAAAAAAAAAAAAAAATTATAATTAAAATTAAAATTAATATAAGTATCTCTATATTGTATGTATAATTTTAAATTGATAAATTTGATAACACTTGATAAATTTATTGTACTATGGAAAAAACTATTTAGCATAATCAAACTTACTCTTCGCAATAAATTTAAAACTCAATCATTGTTCTCAATTTATTTCATTTTTGTAATGCTGTTATTAATTATAAAACATTTTAAATTATCATCATATTAAAATAACGGATATATGAATTAACAAATCCAATGAACTCTAAATCCTCATACATAGATATGTCGCATCCACATTGCGTAATAATTGTACGTTTCGCGAAATGAAAACGCTTTTTTTCGCTTCGCGTAATTCCACTACATGAACATTTCATGAAATGAATACCTAAACTACACATAACGGAAGTAGTTTGGTCATATTATCAATGAACATATACACTTAGCGTAACAATATTTATAATTATTTTTTTATTATTTTGAACATAGTACAGAGTTATAAATACTAATTATGAATATCACAATAAATTAATAATAAAATTTTGAAAATTATGAATAATTATGAAACTGATTAACTATGAATATAATGAATAATTATGAAAATTATTAACTATAAATATAATGAAATATGAAAA